GGTCCGTGAGTTCAAGCCCCGCGTCAGGCTCTGGGCTGATGGCTCAGAACCTGGAGCCTGTTTCTGATTCTGTGTCTCCCTCTCTCTCTGCCCCTCCCCAGTTCATGCTCTGTCTCTCTCTGTCCCAAATATTAAAAAAAAAAAAAAAAAAAAAAAAAAGAAAGTTAAAATACACAATAACAGCATATATCAAAAAAGTATAAATGCATTTAAAGTGCTCTAGCTTCCTTATATTATCAAAAATACACTTTGATGGGGTGCGTGGCTCAGTCCACTGGGCGTCTGACTCTTGATTTCAGCTCAGGGTTGAGGGATCAAGCCCCTTGTTAGGTTCTGCACCAAGTGTGGAGCCTGCTTAGGATTCTCTCTGTCTGGGGGCGCCTGGGTGGCTCAGTCAGCTGAGCATCCGACGTCAGCTCAGGTCATGATCTCACAGCTCATGAGTTCGAGCCCCGCGTCGGGCTCTGTGCTGACAGCTCAGAGCCTGGAGCTGCTTTGGATTCTGTGTCTCCCTCTCTCTCTCTGCCCCTCCCCACTCATGTCTCTCTCTGTGTCTCAAAAATAAATAAATAAAAAAAAAAAAAGATTGTCTCTCTCTGTCTGCCCCCCTCTCCCCCACTCACACATTCTCTCTCAAATAAAAATTTTTTTAATTAAAAAAACTGATAAATTAAAAGTATTTCTGATGTAATTTTAAATTAATAAAAGAACACAAAAAAAGGGTATAATTTTAAACTGGTAAAGAGGGAGAATGATACATAAAAATCAGAAATCTAAAAGAGAAAAAAATGTCAGATTGGATAAATGGAAAACACTTTTTTTTTCAACGTTTATTTATTTATAGGACAGACAGAGACAGAGCATGAACGGGGGAGGGGCAGAGAGAGAGGGAGACACAGAATCGGAAACAGGCTCCAGGCTCTGAGCCATCAGCCCAGAGCCCGATGCGGGGCTCGAACTCACGGACCGCGAGATCGTGACCTGGCTGAAGTCGGACGCTTAACCGACTGTGCCACCCAGGCGCCCCACACTTTTTTTTTTAAAGTAATCTCTGTGCCTCATGTCAGGCTCAAACTCGGGACCCTGAGATCAAGAGTCTCATACTCTGCTGACTGAGTCAGCCAGGCATCCCAGAAATTATTTTTGAAGGTGGTTAGATTTAATTCCAAATATAGTAGCAATTACACAAATGTGAGAGTACTAAATGCTCCAGTTAAAAGTTAAAGATTGGTTAAAAAACAAAAGTGTTGTTAAACAAGAGACACATTTAAAACATAATGATGAATGCTGAAATTAAAAGGAAAATGCATAACTTACAAGCACCAACGAAAAAATAGCTGACATGTGTAGAGGAAATCATCAGACAAAAGATTTCAGTCAGAAAACATTACTATGGATAAGAGAGATACTTTATTTAAAACAATTTTTTTAACGTTTATTCATTTTTGAGAGACAGAGAGACAGAGTGTGAGTGGGGGAGGGACAGAGAGAGAGGGAGACACAGAATCCAAAGCAGGCTCCAGGCTCTGAGCTGTCGGCACAGAGCCCAACTTGGGGCTTGAACTCACGAACCGCAGGATCATGACCTGAGCTGATGTCAGATGCTTAACTGACTGAGCTACCCAGGTGCCACCACCCCCATTAAAAAAATTTTTTTAATGTTTATAAGAGAGATACTTTATACTGATGAAACATTCAATTAAACAGATACTGCTTTAAAAATTTTTCAAAAATGTTTATTTACTTGTGTGTGTCAGAAAGACAGAGGGAGAAAAAGAGAGAGAGTGAGCAGGTGAGGGGCACAGAGCACCTGAGGCAGGCTTCAGGCTCTGAGCTGTCAGCACAGAGCCTGACATGGGCCTTGAACTCACAAACTGCGAGATCATGACCTGAGCTGAAGTCGGATCCATAACCAACTGAGCCACCCAGGCACTCCTAACAGATATTGCTTTTAATTCATATGTACCTATGACCAAGTCTCAAAATATATAGAGCAAAAATTCAGAGACTACAAAAAGAAATAATATAATTACCATATATATATTGGGGGGGCATGTTTATATATTTACGTAAATATATACATATTTAACACTTGTTATGTACAACTTCAAGATACACATTCTTTTTAAGCATTTGAATGGAATTTATTAAATCTAAATATATAAAGATTAATAAGACTTACCCCCCAGCTAGGTGGATGATCTTCATAATTATTCCAGAACATTCATTTAGAACAGGCATTCACATTATTCTGTATAGTGAAAAGCTGAGTAGATAGTCTCTACCCTTATGAGTTTATAAGCAGCACCAAGTAGATATACTATACTGATATTGAACACTAGCGTGAGGCAGTTGTGGAGAGGATATTAGTTTATCTCATTCAATTTAATTCTCATTCTATGATGTAGGTATTGGTAAGTCTACTTAAGAGATGAAGAACTGGGGTGCCTGGGTGGCTCAGTTGGTTAAGTGTCTGGCTCTTGGTTTCAGCTCAGGTCATGATCTCATGGCTCTTGAGTTTGAGCCCTGCAATTGGGCTCTGCACTGACAGTGCAAAGCCTGCTTGGGCTTCTCTCTGTCTCCTTCTCTCTCTGTCCCTCCCCTGCTTATGCTTGCGCACTCTCTCTCTTTCTTTCTTTCTCTCTTTCACACACTCTCTCTGTAATAAATAAACTTTAAAAAAGGTAAAAAAAATGCTTAAAAAAAAAAAAAGAGATGAAGAACTGAGACTCCTAGGGATTAAGTAAATTTCCTAAGGTCTCCTCCTCAGTAAATGACAGTGCTCAAATTTATGAGCAATGAACTAGCTCCAGAAAAGAGTCAAGCTTGAGACTGGAAGTAAGGAGGAAAATATTCTTACAGAATCTCTAAAAATTAGGAAGAAGGTGTCTTTGTGTGGCATTGACAAAACTTAAGTGTCTACAGTAGAAGAGAGTTATATATTGAGCCAAAGCATTGGCTAATATAGTTTGATGAGAGAGAGTTATCTTAGAAGATGGCTAGTGCTGGTGGTTAGGAATGTGGGGATGTCCAAGGGAGAAGAACTATCATATACGCAGCATAACAGAAATTAAAATGCCTCTCCATTATGGCTTCTTATGCCATTGAAAATCCTTTTCCTGTAGCTCAAGTTCACTCTGCCAATTGCTTGCAGTGTCTGAAGTGAATCCCAATTTCTTTTTTTTTTTTTTTAATTTTTTTCAACGTTTATTTATTTTTGGGACAGAGAGAGACAGAGCATGAACAGGGGAGGGGCAGAGAGAGAGGGAGACACAGAATCGGAAACAGGCTCCAGGCTCTGAGCCATCAGCCCAGAGCCCGACGCGGGGCTCGAACTCACGGATCACGAGATCGTGACCTGGCTGAAGTTGGACGCTCAACCGACTGCACCACCCAGGCGCCCCGAATCCCAATTTCAAAAGGAAGGCTTTTACAACCAGGTGAAAGTCAAGTTGTGTGTTCCTCCCACTTTCGAGTTTTCAGAATGTGTATCTGTTTCACTGCTTACCATAGGGAGAAAAACACTCACAGAGATAGTGTAATATGGATCTTCAATCGATTATTTAAATCTATTCAGTATTTGAATTATTAGGGTCACATCATTTTTTTTTCCTCAACTATTTTAATACTCTGGCTGATTGTGTGTCAATTATACTAAAAAAAAAAAAATCCGGCTGAACCCCTTACATCCATCTCAGCCCAGCTGTCCTTAACCTTCTTTCTCACATCTTTACTGCAACCCCAGAGCTTTCCTGCAACACAGCCATTAGTGTGATTTTTCCAAAACAATTACTTGATTATATAATTTAAATGCTTTAGGAAAAACCACTGGCTTTCTCTGAATCATACCCACACTCAATGTAGTGTGGTATATAATGTTTGGAATCTGGCCCCAATTTATCTTTCTAGCCTCAGCTCTTCCCCTTCCTACCATAGCCCCTTACCACAAGAAACAACAGACAGATACCTCACTTATGGAGAATATTATGTTGTGATGTCTCTGTGGCAAGAAACTGGGGCCACAGAGGGTAAGTAACCTATCCTAGGCAGATAGCAAGTAAGTGGCAGAGTCAGGATTCAAACTCAGGCCTGACTCCAAATCATGGGCGTAATCCTTTAAACTGCATGGTCTTCTGTGTTTTATATGTTTTTGTGAATTTTTTTTAACCATATGAAACAAAATTAATTTTGAGTGTACTAAATGCTATGCATAATCCATGCTGTCTTGTATCATAATTGAGTATAAAATGTAAGCCAGTCATAGAGATTATTCTATCATTTCCATAGAATTGAGAGTTGCCATTAGTATCACTAGTTTTCCTTCACCTCAGACACTTAGATAATAGTAATAATGCCTTCTGTTCATTTAGAGCTCACTCCGTGCCATGCATGGTGCTAAGCATTTTATATACCTAACAATATGTAATAAAGCACTCTAAGATAACTACTACTCTTCCCATTTTGTGATGAGGAGACTGAGGCTATAGTAAGGCCTATAGATACTTGTTTAAGATTGAACAACTAGTAGTAGAACTGGAATTGAACTCAAGACCCTCTCACTTGACAGCCTGCGCCCTTGACTATTACACTATGTCCTCTCCCTTTAAAGCTCCTAGATTGAACCCCTTAATAACCTGGATCCCACCCTCCATGCACCATGCCAGACACATGTACCCTTATCTTGCAAGTCTTGTCTTCCCATCTAGCTGACAAGCTTCTTTCTGTTTTCATTCTTCTAGTTTCCTGGGCACGGAATGGCTTAAGATAGTAGAAACTCTGGTTATGAACAAGGGATTATTTTCCCTGTAGGAGCAGGGCTTCAGAGGAAGGGAACAGGAGTCATCTAAACCCTAGGTCAGGTGACTGAGGTGGGGAAGAAAAGACCTTCCACGGGGTTAAGATGCAAAGAAGACCTTTTAATTTCTCTCATTTTTTCTGCATCAAGATTCCCAAATGCCTAGAATCAAGCTGCTTATGACTTTATCTTCCCTCCTCCGTGTTCAGGAAAAGTAGGTTCTTGGTCTGTAGGTTGTAGTAATAAAAAACAGTGATGCCTTTTTGAATCCAGTGGCTCATTACTTTAGTCATCAATTTATTTACATATATGCCAGGCATTGTTCTAGATACTAGATATACAGCTGTTAACAAAACAAAGAACCTGTCCTCCTGGGCCTTGTAGCTTTCTGGGGGATAGCAGATTATTAACAAATAAACAAATAAATATGTAATATGGTGACAGTGTGAGAAGTGCTATGAAGAGAAAGAAAGCTAAGTAAAGGGGGGGAAAATGATGAAGGGTAATGGCGGATATAGGCTGCTATCTTTTAGGGTAGTCAGCGAAGATCTTTCTGGTATTTTTTAAGTAAAAACCTGAATGAAGTGAGTAACAAATCATGAGCATATCTAAAGAAAGAACATTCTGGCAGAATAAACAGCCTTGAAGTGATAGTGTGCTTGTCATATTTGAGGTTAATAAGGAGACCAATGTGTATGGAACAGAATGGATGAGGAAGAGGGTGGTGGGAGATGTGGTTTAAGAACAGCCAGGGCCCAATCAGAGCTCTGGATTTTATTCTAAATATGGCGGGGTTTTGAGCAAAAGAGTGAAGATTTTAAGCAAAAAGTGAGATGATCAGATTTACATTCTAATAGAATCCATCTTCCTGCTGAATGAAGAAAACATTACGGTGGAATAAGGGTGGATGCAGAGAGACCAAAGAGAGGGCAGTGGTAGAGAATCTAAGAATGTGCAGATTCAGGAAATGTTTTGAAGGTAGAGCAGATAAGGATTGCCAGTGGATTGAATATGGGGTGTTTAGTTTGAACCAAAAGTTTCTGGGTTTTCGTTTAGGCAGCTAATTGAATGGAGGTGCCATTTACCAAGATGAGGATAATGTTTAGGAGAGGAAATCAAGACTCTTGTTTGAACCTTGTGAGAGACTGTTTGACTTCCAAGTTCTTGGGGGAGAATAGGCCTCTAGTAGATGCCAGAATGTTAACCTTTTATAGGAGCATGTCTGCATGAAGGTAAGGAAGCAGAGAAATAGAAGGAATAAAGTTCCTTCTGAGTAATCCTTCTGATATTCAAGTGACGAAAAAGTAGTCATTTGAGTTTGTCTTATACACACTACGATTTCAGGGAAAGCAGTCTCTCTCTTCCAAAAAAAAAAAAAAATCCCTATTAATATTGTCTCAAAATTTCTGAATTTAAATCCAAGTAATTTATTCCACAATTAGAAATAGCTTAAAATGCAAATAGCTTGAGAGACAATTCATTGTTTATGGGTTTTTATCAAATTATAACAGAGCAGATAAAGGTCCTAAGTGTTAAAAAGGGAGAAAAGATATCATTGTCAAGAGAGAAAGATGTAGGGGCTCCTGGGTGGCTCAGTCGGTTAAGCATTTGACTTCAGCTCAGGTCATGATCTCACGGTTCGTGGGTTCGAGCCCCGCATGGGGCTCTTGTGCTGACAGCTCAGAGCCTGGAGCCAGCTTCAGGTTCTGTGTCTCCCTCTTTCTCTGCCCCTCCCCCACTTGAGCTATCACTCTCTCTCAAAAATAAACAAACATTAAAAAAAAGATATAAATCAAAGATTTCACAATCTTGCTAGGGACTGCCCTCTTCATCATAATTTCTAAGTGAAAAATGGAGAAAGTGTTCAGATCTTGAAGGATTCACTTAAATTTAATTTTTAAAAAATGTTTGTTCATTTGTTGAGAGAGACAGACAGAGCATGAGCAGGGGAGGGGCAAGGAGAGACGGAGACACAGAATCTGAAGCAGGCTCCAGGCTCTGAGTAATGAGCTCAGAGCCTGATGTGGGGCTCAAGCCCATGAATGCGAGATTGTGACCTGAGCCGAAGTCGGACGCTCAACCTATTGAGCCACCCAGGCGCCCCTTTTACTTAAGTTTATACTTAAGTGGAGAGTATTCATTTAAATTCTTTCTCTTCCCTAACTTTTAGCCATTTTTCTACCTTTTAACCCTTTATCTCTTCCCCAAAATGTTTTTCAACTGAAAGGCTTGTGGCATGATAAACACTTGTCACCTCTTTTCTAGGGCCAGAGCTCAAACAGGTGGCTCTGGAGAGGCTAATTTATTGTGCAATTACTCTTCCATGTTGCACAGTCATTTCTCCCAGCAGTGTCCTAGGGGCGGGATACCACATCTAACACCAGAAAGGAGTCAAGGCAGCTTTCACATTATTTTTTTTTTTCTGATTATCAGAGTGACACATGGTTACTGACAAAATTTTTAACAAGAAAGTTTAAAAAAAAAATAACGGAAGTTTAAAATCCCTATTAGCTAGAGGCAACTCCAACAACATCTTGGCATATTGCCTTCTTTTATTCATTTTGTTTTCCCATAATTGAGCTCGTTATTGTGCCTGCAACTTTGCATCATGGTGTATTTACTTAACATTATGGCATATGTATTTGTCTACGTCATTGCATTTTTAGGGCTACATACTCATCTATAGTATAGCTGTATCAGGATTTACTCAAGGCAGTTTCTGATTATAATTACAAATAATGGGTAATAAACAGTCTTGTGCGTAAAGCTTTGTCCAGAAGGACAAAGAATTTGAATTTGAATGATTTACTAAAAAAGCAATTGGTGAATTAAAGGGTATATACATTTTTAAAAGCTTCTGATATACATCGCTACACTGATTTGCAGAAGGGTTGTAATCAAATTATTTTTGGGTGAAGGGGGTGTGTGTGGAGAGGGAGAACTACTGAAACTATCGGATTTGTTAGAAAATACTTGACAGTAATTCTTTTGTGAAAACAAATAATAATGCCTTTTATTTTGAATACACAGAAGAGAAATGGCTGTGTATTATTGTATACTAACTATTACTTGCTCTGTTTCATAGTGATAACATAGTACTAACTTAATATGAGATAAGTGTTCCGAGTTTGAAGAGTAGCAGATATGTTTGTGCAGTGAAAATCAGGAAAGTCTAATGGAGGTTGGATGATCTCTGGATACTGAGACAATGGGGTGATAGAGAGGAGGGGTCAGAGAAGGCATTTCCAGGAAGGGGGTAGAGTAGGAAGGAAGTCAGAATGCCTCTGGAGCAGGAGGAGCTGTAGGAGGACAGCATAGCAGCATGCAGTCTGCCCTTCCTTACACAGGAATGAAGCAAAGCTGGTAGGAGGCAGCATAGAAGGGAACACTTTGGCAACTGGGGTGATGTTGATGACCTTCGGGTCAACTAGAGATTTCAGGGTAAATTTCTGTAACATGGTGGTTAGGAATAATAACAGCTCCAGGTGGCCCTGGCCGTCTCCTAGACAAGTCCGTTTTCCTGAAAATAACAGAGTAGATACTCCTTGGACGCTGTGTTTCTGAACGATCACAGAAAGAATATACCACAATTAATTGATGAGTGATTGAATAGATGTACAGATGGAAGACAGGATGGCTGGAGGGATGGTTGGATGACACATTTGCTGTCCATCTAATAACTCACAATATTTATTCAAATGGTCATGTATTGAATATCAGCTCTATGCCAATCACTCTATGAAGTATTCTTCTATTATAACTGCTCTTTAGACTTTTTAAGTTTCCTTCATTTTAGTTTTTCTAGAAAAAAGACCCACATTCTCAGTTAGTCGGAAGGGGAAGGACTGAGAGAAGGAGACTCTTATATCTGTTTCCCTTTCTCTCTCCGGCAGAAAGTTTACCCAAAGATATTTTTCCTCCTGCGTTTTCAAAAGCAAATGTCACTTCCTCACTTTAAAACTTTAAATGCCTCTCTGTGCCTGTCCTATGACATAAAGTCCAGATTACATGACCTGGTCCTTTACATTGTTTTCACAGTCTGATATGCCATGATTTTGCCTTCCACTTGTTCTGTGTGTGTCTAAACAGTTTTTATTGCAAAATATATATAACAAAAATGCCCATTTTTAAAATCTATAACGAAAAAATTTTAAGCATGCAATTCAGTGGCATTGACAGCATTCACAATGTTACCACCACTATATATTTTTACCACTATTGATTAATAAAATTTTTTCATCACTGCAAATGAAATTCTGTAACCATTATACTGTAAGTTCTCATTTTCCCAACCCCTGATAGCCAATAATCTACAGTCTAGCTCTATGAATTTGCTTATTCTAGATATTTCAGTTTAAGTGAAATCTTACATTTGTCTTCTGTGTCTGGCTCATTTCACTTAGCATAATGTTTTCAAGATTTATCCATGTTGTAGTATGGATCAGCACTCATTCTTTTTTATGGCTGAATAATATACTGTCATTTGTGTATATCCCATGTTGTTGATATATCTGTCTATTGTGGGACACTGGGTTGTTTCCATCTCTGGGCTTTTCTGAACAATGCTACAGTGGACACCAGTGTACAAGGATGTGTTTCAGTGCCTGGTTTCAATTTTTTTGTGTATTGCCTAGGTGCACAAATGCTGGGTCATATGGTTGCAATTGTTTTTTCTTTTTTTTTTCTTTCTTTTTTTTTGGGGGGGGTTTATTTACTTTTGAGAGAGAGACAGAGACAGAATGTGAGCCAGGGAGGGTCAGAGAGAGAGGGAGACACAGAATCCGAAGCAGGCTCCAGGCTCTGAGCTGTCAGCACAAAGCCTGATGTGGGGCTAGAACTCACGAACTGGGAGATCATGACCTGAGCCGAAGTTGGACTCCCAACAGACTGAGCCACCCAGGCGCCCCATATGGTTGCAATTCTTACAGCAGTTCTTACAAAGTACTACATACATCTGAGGAAAAGCCCCTCTTGGAAAGGGGCTGTCTTAAAGTATTAAAATCTTACATAAAATTGTCAACACCACACAATATGTTTGGGCCGTGAGGAGAAAGGAAAAGAGAAGATACAAGTCATAAACTGATGTGTCAGAAATGATCAATTTGGGAAACTGAATTTATCACCACTATTAAAGGGCTCAATTATTTTGTTGGGATGAGCACTGGGTGTTGTATGTAAGTGATGAATCATGGGAATCTATTCCCAAATCAAGAGCACACTGTATTCACTATATGTAAGCTAACTTGACAATAAGTTATATTTTAAAAAAAAGGGCCCAAATATTTTACATAGTGATTCCAAATATTAATTTTGATTATAAAGTATCAAGTTTATTTCATTTTGTATGGTTTCATGATTTTTAATGGGAAACACCATAATAAAGGTGTTTTTTGTATTGTGGGTCCATTAGTCATGAAATCAATTTGTTTGCTATGATCAACAAAAAAGAAAATATAATTGCATAGAAAATACAAGAATGCATTATGCCTAGGTAAACTAAATATTATTTTGTGAAATTTTTGTTTCAGTTACATGTGTGTACCATAATATATATTTCTTATTGTGGGATGTGACCAGAAAAAAAAAAATAGTTTGAAGTCACTAGTATGGTGGAAAAGTCTTCAGAATTAGCCAGGCCTCAGTTTGAATCTGAGCTCTGGGTGACTTTTGCAAGTTATTTACCTAACTTCTGTGGATCAATCCCCTCATCAAAAAAGGGAGAGTAAATAATATCTCCTTCCGTTTGGTGTGTATGTGTGAAAAGATTAGAGATTCCTTAAGTAGAATGCCTAAAATATTGTTAATGATACAAATATATAATTGCTTCCAAGCGTCCCCAAAATAATGCACTCTACATAAAAACACTTCATTCACTTAGGAGGAAGAGGATCTGAGGATGTGTGTTATTGATGACTACATCTGTTTGTTATATCTGTAGTCTAAAACTACATTGCTCAGTCTTTTTCTCCAATTTGATTTAGTAAGGAGATTTGAGTTCTTTCCCCTTCCTAGTCTCACGTTGTACTTATCTATATTATGGACTTTTGGCACTTAATTATACATTTGTCATATTTTCTAATCATTTCATAGTTCAGCTGTGTTACAAACTTTTACATCTCTTCTAGTGCTTAAAACAGTGCTGGGCACATTACAGAGTGAAGGATGAGAATCTATTAAATGTGGCCCATAGCACACCTTTTGCAAAGTATCACTTGTATAAGGGGAAGCAGATGAAATCCTGATTCTGCCAGTATTTCTCACCCAATCTACTCCATGCTAAACAGGTCAGTTAGGCACTAAGTCATGTCTCTGGGTAGTACAAGTGGAAGGTGTGAACAGAGAAACCACTTTATCTGAGGACAGTCGAAAATTAGATCCTACTTTCCCCTCCCCACTCCTTTTCCCATCGGGGAGGGGACATTTATAAGCCCTGAGGACCAGGGTCCAGAAACCGGCTGGCGTCCTGAGCTCCAGAGGCTTGCCAGCACGCACGATCTCCCGCACTGAGAGCCCTTCTTCCCAGATGAATTCTCATAGTATCACAGACGCGCGCAGTGTCGATCGATACTGGATGGCAGACGTGCTCCCGCCGTCAAGTGTAGGCACAGGGCGGTGGATTTAGCCGGCCTGCCGCTCGGTCGCAGCTTCTCATCAGCTCAATAAGGGCAGAGGACGTTAACCCGTTCCCCGGCGGACACCCACTCGGTCGCCTCCCGACACCCGCTGTCCGCAGCCCCTTCCCCTCGACTTCCCCCCACTCGGCCTCCCTCAGACTCCCACGCGTGTCGGGGGTGCGATGCAGCAGGGGCCCGGCCCGAAAGGAGGGCGCCCATCGGTTGCCTCTCCGCCCGGCTCCCTGGACGGTCCTTGGAGGCAGCTGAGGCAGGGAGTACCGAGCTTCTTCACACTCCGGACCTTACCTTTTTATATCTTCTTCCGCTGGTGGGCGGCAGGGGGAGGCGGCAGCCCCGAAGCCAGCTGCTGGGGCCGCGCGGAGGCCACTGCGTGGTGGGGTGGGGGCACGCGCCGCAGCCAACCTCTTGGACCCCTGAGAGCCCAGCCAGGCGAAAACCCCGCCCCTGGCGCCCGCTCCCACTCCTGATTGGCCGGTCCAGCCTGAAGGCTACCGGTGGTCCCCCGGCCCGAATCTCAGCTATAAAGGCAGCCCACGCATGACGGCTGTGGCGAAGCTCGGGTAGCTGCGGTGCTCGTCCGCTTTCAGCCCCCGCGGCGCCCCCTTTACTCCTTGCCCCCAGAGCGCTCCCGACTCCACCATGCCGAGGGGCTTCCTGGTAAAGCGAACTAAACGGACAGGGGGCTCCTACCGAGTGCGCCTAGCTGAGCGGATCTTCCCACTGCTGGGGCCCCAGGGGGCGCCGCCCTTCCCCGAGGAGGCTTCCAGTGCTCCCCAGCCAGGTGCGGAGCAGGTGGCACCCCCCACCCTGGAGGAGGAGGCGTCAGCCCGCGAGCTGTCGGGGTCGTCCTGTCAGGCGGCTAGGGTGAGCCCAGGGGAGGGCGGGCAGGAAGGTGCTGCGGAGTGGAGGGCGGATGGCAGGGAGGGCCCCGGGCCCAGCCCCAGCCCCACCAAGCCGGCGGGCGTGGAGCTGCGCCGGGCATTCCTGGAGCGCTGCCTCAGCTCACCCGTGTCTGCAGAGTCCTTCCCCGGGGGTGCCGCCACGGTGGCTGCTTTCTCGAGCTCGGCGGCGCCAGCAGCTGCACCGACCTCCGGGGAGCAGTTCCTGCTGCCGCTCCGGGCACCATTCCCAGAGCCAGAGTTCCATCCAGACCCTGCGCCCCTCTCGGTCACCCTGCAAGGCCTAAAGCGGGCCGCTGGCAACGAGCGCCGTGCCAAGGCACCTCCGGGCTGCGCGTCTGGACCCGCGGCCGCCGGAGTCAAGAAGCCAAAGGCCATGAGGAAGTTGAGCTTCGCAGATGAAGTGACCACGTCCCCTGTTCTGGGCCTGAAGATCAAGGAGGAGGAGCCCGGAGCACCGTCCAGGGGCCTGGGGGGCAGCCGCACGCCACTGGGGGAGTTTATCTGCCAGCTATGCAAGGAGCAGTACGCGGACCCCTTCGCTCTGGCTCAGCACCGCTGCTCCCGCATCGTACGCGTCGAATACCGCTGCCCTGAGTGCGACAAGGTCTTCAGCTGCCCTGCGAACCTCGCCTCCCATCGCCGTTGGCACAAGCCCCGTCCCGCAGCGGCAAATGCTTCCACAGTCTCTTCAGCCGACGGGAAGCCACCTCCTTCCTCAGCCTCCCCAGACTCTGGGGCTGTTGCATCTTTCTTGGCGGAGGGGAAGGAGAACAGCCGGGCAGAGCAAACGGCGGATCAGCACCTGCAGGCGAGGGACAGCTCCAGGGCGGAGCAGCACCAGGACAGCGCCCCACACCCGGGCCTCCAGGTGTCCCACCCCGAGCCACCGCTGCCTCAGGTCCCGTATACGGAGGGGATGTTGGGGCGCCGGGTGCCTGGGCCAGGCAGTGCCAGTGGTGTCGGGGGACCCGAGATCTTCATGTGCCCATATTGCCACAAAAAGTTCCGTCGCCAAGCCTATCTGCGCAAGCACCTAGGCACTCACGAGGCAGGCTCTGCTCGTGCACTTGCCCCGGGCTTTGGCTCTGAACACGGTGCCCCGCTTGCCTTCGCTTGCCCGCTGTGCGGGGCCCACTTCCCTTCCGCAGACATCAGGGACAAGCATCGGTTGTGGCACGCGGTCCGCGAGGAGCTGCTCCTGCCTGCTCTGGCTGGGGCCCCCCCTGAAGCTCCAAGCCCAGGCGGGGCATCCGACGGGAGTGCTCAGCAAATTTTCTCGTGCAAACACTGCCCGTCCACTTTTTTTAGCTCCCCGGGGCTGACCCGGCACATAAATAAGTGCCACCCCTCAGAAAGTCGGCAGGTACTGCTGCTGCAGATGCCGTTGCGGCCTGGCTGTTGAGGACAGAGATGAGGAAGATTATGCGGTTGGCTTTGGAGGAAACAGAGCAAGGGAATTTCTGTGGGGATTTCTTGAATTTGCAAGTTTACCCTCTTTGCTGCCTATATTTTCTCTCCTAAAACTCCCAGTAGTCAATGTTCCGCCAGAGAAGCGGACAGCGAAATGTAAAATCCCTCTCTAGAGCAGGTATGTATATGATATAAACATTCGCGGTCAAGGACTGTCACTTTAAAAGCCTTCTCTCTTACCCCACGAAAATAGGATTTCCCCCCTCATTCTGGAGACCCTAACGAATCCTATATGACTTGTAATTCCTATGGAAAGTCGTAGTGAATACGTGCATGTCTCAATATCTGCAAATGATTCTAACTACCAAAAGTGGTAGTCTTTTTGTTTTTTTTTTTTCTTGCCATTGCAGGCGCCTATGTAGTTTCTGTCTCAATAGGGTCAGATTTCTTGCATTGTATATTCTGTGAATTAAAAGTTATGTGATTGGTGCCAAACGTACAGGGGGTTGGGGAAAGACTCAAGACCTCTGCCTGTGGGCAGGAAATGTAAGGGGATGTTTGCGCTTTGGGGGGATATGGGGATCTCCCTGTAAACGTTCTCTTTCTCAAGTATTAGTAGTCCATTCTTAAGTTAGTGTTTGGAGGTGGAGAGGGTGCTACTTTACTTGGAGGGGGTTGAGATACCCCCAAATTCTCACCTTTAGCTTTTTTGTGTGTTTTCAGGAAGAGATACTTTAACAGATTTTTTTTTGGGGGGGGAATATAAAACTCATTTCTGGAAGTTTGACTGTTTTAGTAGGGTTTCATCCAAATTGTTTAATCCTTCTGTTGTAAATCTTATACAGTGTTATATATGAAACTATGTTCAGCTTAAGGAAGATGTTAATACCTATCTATCTATAATCCACTATGGAACTGAATGACTTTTCATTCAATATTCATTTTTCAGCAGCAATCTGTTTCTGAAATTTCTTTTTGTAAACCATATTCAGTGCACACTCTGTACCCATGCTCTAATAGCCAGAGTTTGGGACACTGGCTGAGTATTGCTCGACAGATAGCCCATATTTGTAAGATGCTTACCACCAAATAAATGTACATAGCTGGTGCTTTCTTGTGTTCCGTGTTTGTCCTGAGAATCTCATTGAACACAGCCTATTTTTCAAAGCCACATTTCTTATCTCCCCAAAGCTAGTATCCTACTTTAGATTCTTAGTGACCCATTTAGATAGAATACAGACAGGAGAAATTATATTTTATAAATGCATATAATGGTGCAGAAATGCAATGGAAAAATTTCCTTTGAAGTATGGCTTGCACAGACTAAGCTCCAAAAGGCTTTAAATCTAAAGATACTTTACCACCTAAAAATGTCAACAGAAAATATATTTTAAGTATTTTTTCTTTAAAAAAGCTGGTAGTTTTATCCAAAGATGAAAAAAATGTTAACCATGCTAATTAACTCCACTGTTTCCAAGTTGGCATTTTCATTCCATTTTGTTATATTTCATCAATCCATTAGCTGTTCATTATTAAAAAATGAAAGCACCATAGAAATGTGTAAGCAGTTACCTTGACTTTCCTTTCTGTAATTCTTTGCCTTGGTTGTGGGAAACTATCTATACTGTTTAACCTTGTTCCCAGGGACTCGTTTATCTTCTACATAAGCTTTCATAGGAATTTTGTCTTCCACAGTTTCCTAGGAATCTATTTTTATTTACAAGAAAACAAAAACTTAAGTGCATAGGAACTCTGAAAGGTTATTTAGAAACTGTCTGCAAGTTTTTTTCTTCCCTGAATGTGTATTACCAAACAAAATGAAACTTAAAAATCAAAGAAGCAGAAGGCTAAGCTTAATTGATGCTTTAACCAAGTGTATTGGGTTAAATTTCTGGCCAGCCCTTACAAAGGTATAAAATTGCCTGCATTTTTAACGACTATGGTAGAATCTCTGAGAAATAACTTGGGGTGTATCCTAACTAAAGAACTTGAATTCATTTTTCATGATTTGCTAAGATAACCTAGGTTTATGCTTTACATCTCTCCATCAATCACATAGTTCTACTTATTAAGTCTGAAAATATATTAAAGACAAATAGATGAGAAATATAAAAGACAAATCAATGCTCATAGACATTGTGATAAGAATATTTTTATTGTATTATTAAATACCATATCTTTTTCTTTCACTGTTACAAATTTGTAGATACTACATGAATGATGATACATAATTTATATTTTATAGTTTGCCGGTATGATGTATTTACACATGCAGTTAGTACTGATGTCATGCTACATTTCCTTAGGAGATGCCCGTTCAAAACAAAATATGAACAAAATGTGAGCAGCTTATTTATTGTAGGAAAGTATTTCTGGGGGGGGGAGGAATGTATACCAGCTTGCACCAGCAAGTTCAGTATTAATATAATATTTAACTTAGACTCCTGGGTCATGTTCCCTTTTTAAATACACATAATTTAAGCAACACATTTATATCAGAAAAGTTTTTTCTTTTCTTTCTTTCTCCCCATCCCCCCGTTACCCTCTTTCTGGTACTTAGTAAAGAACAACGATACACCAGGATCCAGCAGCCAATAATACAGGGCCACAATCTCAAAAATGGCATTTAACAGTGATACCATTTAAAAAGCAAAACATTAGAAAAATATTTGGAAGCTAAACATAAATCAAAGTTCAGCACAGTGATTTTTCTTGTTATTAGATATATCATGGCATCACCTGCACAGCCAAGAAATGAGGCATCGCTTTGGGAAGAAAAAGTTAATGCTAAAATTATGTTAGTTGGAATTTGGAATACTAAACAACCATTTATTTTAAGTGTTTTATTTTCATAACATAAATAATCCATACACATCCTGTGTATTAAGATTTGCAACTTTTGCTATAACTTTACAAATGCTTAAATTTAAAAATTTACATTTGTAAAAAACAATCATATATTTACTGAGCCATAAAGTTGCAATGGGGCACGATAAATAAAATAATGAGACTATCCAATTATATTTTGGCTCAGAGTTAATCATGAAATTAAAAGTGAAACTGCTTAGACATAATTATCTAGGAAGGTAAAGGGTGTAGAATAAAACTCCACCCCCCAAAAATATGGCAGCTTAGAGTATTGGGGGGGAAAAACCAACTGAATAAACAGTCCAAACCTATTAAGTTACAAATTACTTAAATCCAGTGTTTTTTAAAAATAAATGTTCAGGAAGATACATGCAAGTTATGGCAAACACGAAGGCCTGAAAGGGTTAACACTATGTTCATGCTAAGGTGGCTACTGCTGATCACACTGCTGGGCTGCTTGTCTCCTTAGGATTTATTGGCTGAGCCAGAGGATCGACGCAGCTTCATGGACATGCGGCTTTTGCTAGTTCGAGGAGACATTGGAGAGGCCAGGTCAGCCCCGTCTACCTGCGTTGCTGTGGGAGTTTCACTGGATAGAATCTCTGGGTAGGAGCCTGTGGGAAATATTAAGAGCATTAGCACATGTCGTCTGGCCTCTCACCCCATAAGATATAATCTGCTACTCATCTGTAGCATGGATCCCAACCCTTAATGAGTTCTTTTGAGGGGAAAAAGCAAGGCCAAAACTTGCCTTTTAGAACAGCCTACTAAGATTTTATTTAAAACCCAGTCATCTGGTGGCTCACGTAATTATATTAGCAAGAAAGCACCAATCACTGTTTCCAGAGCCAGGACTAACCAGAGAGCTCCTCAGAAAAAGCAATGGGAAGCAAAATCTTTGGGCCAGACAGGACAGGGATCCAAAGCATCATTAGCATGCAGGGAAGGGCTTAAGAAGCAGGTGAGAGAAGGACCAATTCCTATCTCTAAAGTACAGGGTATAACCAAGAAAAGGGTATCCACTGCTCAAACTTGAAAACAACAGCACCGAATGGTTCTAAAAAGAAATTCAACACAATGAGACCATTATACACGCTGGGTATTTAAATATGCTTTTAGAAAGGGGCAAAATAAATTCCTAGGGGAAGGAGGAAGACAAGAACTCTTATCTGAAATTTAATAAAAGACAAGTTGACGCCTCAAAATATCTTCCATTTAGAAGAGATAAGCAATGCTTTTGTTTTCCTTAACTTAAATTTTTGCAGTTACTCCATCCAGTCACAGCAAGTAAATAGCCAGTAGGATGAACAAACATTAAAAGAAGCAAAAACAAATTCAAATTGGAAAATTTTTTTGTGTTATTTACGAAGTAGTATCTTTACCTCTGCACCGTATTTCTATGAATTATGATTCTCTAATATACAGCAATGCTATAGAACTTTGCACACTATAGGCCCTCAGATATTTTCTGAATAAGAAATTACATTAAAAATAAAAGCCCTCCAAAAAAAAAATAATAAAACAATCTGAAAATAGAACAAAAATTAAAAAATTCTGTATATTTTAAGACACTTTAATCCAGATTTTCTGGGCCTTATGTATGTGAACATTTTCTTTATGTCACAAACACCTCACACAGGCTGCAGGCTTATTATACATTTCTTCACTCTGCAGGAAAACTTTTGGCATATTTGTTAGCCAAAGGAGCACCTCAGAGAAATTTCAAGCGTGGAAATAATCATACTAACACTTCCATATAATGAAACATTTGTGCCTAAATTGAAGTTATGAATATTGAACAAAACTGTTCAATAAGGGGTACTGATCTTACAGAGATATATTATTAAGAATCTATCTTGGTAGAATACTTCAGAGTGTTTTTAAGGTGAAACGTTACAATTATACTTCAGAACAAACATATTATCAGGGAAGAAATATTTTCTCACTACTTGGAATCTAGGTCCAATTGCCCTTCTTTTCAAAGTAATTTCTCCAACAATTCTTTGTTTTCTAACTGAAATGAGGTTGGCCTTCAAAACACAAGGAGAAGGAAATATATTTCTGTTCACCTTTACTCTTCCTGAAGATCTGAATTGGTTCATACTGGACCCATACTGGAAAACCTAGAGGAGAATATGAATCCATGGCCCTTTTTAGGGAAGCACTGCAGATGGATGGCAGAAGGAAGGTGAAGAGCGGTAGCTCATGCTTTTCTGGTAATGCATATTATTCCCGGCCAATCATGAGAGGCCTTCCCATGGCTGTTTACCTTGAGATGGCCAATGTTTTCTAGCGGAGGTTTTGGGAGGAAGAGAACTATCACTGCATTTCTTTCTTTGTTGTGAATGAAGAAATGGAGTAGCGAGCAGAAGTGAGAAAACAAAAGAGAAGACAGATAACAGATATGAGAGACACTGCAGAATTTTACAGGTGTTAACTGAGGAGCAGAGAAGAGAGTAATCAAGTTTTTATTATGAAATTGGGCATGCAATGCATTAGAGTGATGATGTTTAACAATGGACAATGCTTTGTAAATTCAAATGTTATACTTACCAACTAACAAGTTCAAATAGGAAAAAAAGAAAAGAAAAAAAGTCTATGAGAGATTCTGTAAACATCTACCTTTTAAAGTGCTCATTGTACTGATGGCAGGTTATCATAATCACTAAGTCATAAAATCTCTAGAGCTGTACTGTCCAAAGAGGTAGGCATAGCCACACTAAAATTAAAAATTAACATTAAGTGAAAATAAACATGTGGGTCCTTGGTGTACTGGCCACATTTCAAGTGTTGAGCAACCATATCTGGTTAGTGGCAACCATAATCAACAGTGCAGATATAGGACATTTCTATCATTATAGAAAGTTTTACTGGAGAATACTGCTTTAGAGTATGCCAAAACCAAAGGGTATTTTCCTCAAAAACAGCAATTTCTCCATGTCTCCCTTACTGCCTGCAGTGTGAAATCCCCCTTCAATAAACTGAGAGTCAAATCAGGCTTTTTAGCATGTGTGGTATATAGCTTATCAGTACCTCTTCAGTTTGGCAAATGATATTTGTGGTATATACTAGGCATACTCAAACTCTAAATAATTTACAGTAGATCTCAATTTTAGATGTAAAGAATACAGTAATACGTACCCTTCATTTCACACCCTATTCTGCCTAAGTATTGATTTCTATCACCTGAGTCATAAAGAATGTTGCTTTAATCATTTCTATTAATATATCCTCAAGTAAAAAGTATTTATGGGGTCCTATGTACTGTATCTCTAATATTCTTATAGTACATACTCTGTCTTCATCTTGATGGTATAATTGATTTATACTTTGTACACTGATTATAATGAACACGACTTTGGGGTCTATACGGATTACAAAAGGGAACTCAGTGGATTGTTATTTATCATGGCTTTGTACTGCTTGCTGACAGGTATAACCATTTAAAACCACTGAAGTTATTAAAAAAAATACTTTGACTTTGAAAGTAGATCCAATGAATACTGAACTAAGAGGCACTGTGATGTTTTAGGAAGAATATGGGGACGGGTTAGACAGGCCCAGGTTAAATGCCAAGTCTGGCAAGTTACTAGCTTTTGGGTCTTGGGTAAACTGATCTAAGTTTTCTTTTTTTGTGAAATGGAGACAATACTAAATACTAGTTATTTTGCAAAGTTGTGAGGGATGAATGATTGCATATGCAAAGATCTGGCACACAGCAGGTATACAGTAAGTGTAGCTATATAATAAAGCTACTAAACAGATAAGAGTAAAATTTAACAGACTTTGAATCAGAACAGATGAGGACTGGAAGAGACAGAGATTAGAAATATTTTTGATGAAAATTACCACTTACAAAATATAACCATTGAAATGTGGAGGACACAACATACTGTTTAGTTTTGAGAAAATTAAAGAATTTACCCACTCTTATGTTGGTAGTCCCACAAAATATAACCTTACTTATTAAAGTTTTCAGATTACCCTAATAATCTTAGTGCTTTAATATTGTTAAAGGAGTTGATTAGTGATTAAGATGAGCACGTATGCACTACCACTGGATGTCATAAAGGAAACAGCACATTATTTATTTTTTTAAAGTAATCTCTATGCCCAACACGGGGCTTGAACTCACAACCCTGATATCAGGAGTCACATGCCTGACCAAATGAGCCAGCCAGGCACCCCTAAAATTAAACAGTACAGAAATACAGGCAAATAAAGTGGCTTAATTTTGAATGAAGATATAAAAAACTGCCATTACTGAAGATTTAGAACATGTCAGTCTAAAGTGTGTCATATTTTATCTCCTTACAGATGGAGAAACTGGGTTTAAGAGATTAATTTACTTGAGTCTATATGGATAATAAATAACAGAACTAGGATTTAAATCCAGATCAGTCTAATTCCAAAGCCCATACTCCATACTTCTCCCATGGCAACTTTAATCTATTAAAAAAAAAAAAAAAGATTTTTCAATGGGTGGAAAAGTAGAATCTTTAACAATATCTAATTTGTAAATATGACAGGTTGTAGGGCAATTTCAACAGCAAGAAGGGACTGAAAATACTTAGATTACACAGGTAATTATAATAGTTAAGATCATGGACTATGAAGTCAGATTCTGGCTTTACCAAGTATCAGGTGACTCTGGATAAACTCCCCCCACCCCTCAGGCCCCCAGAACTGCTGCGAAGATTAAATGAGAGAATGCACGTATAGTGCTTAGCACAGTGCCTGGCACTCAGTAATTGTTGAATTATTCTTTTATTATTTTCACTACAAAAATTATACATCTGAATGAATGTTCTATGTGGAAACTGAATTTAGTAATTATTGTCACAAAAGGTTAATGGACTTTAAGACTAATATTATTTGCCCCTTGGTCAACAAGACATAAGCCAAATTTTCAAGTTCAAAATACATTTGACTGCTTATAACTTCAGGTTTAAAAACATAACAAATATATAGCTTATGTTCTGTGTTGAAGGAAACTGATTTTCCTACTGGCACTTATAAATAATAATAACATCTAGGATATGTATAAAATAACTATCTTCTGAGGAGCTCCAGTGTGTTCTTTCAGATCATTTCAAAGCCTGAAAAGGGGAGGAAAGTTTAAAATAACTTTTAAAGAGATAGATCTGACCATAATACTGTCCTATCTACATGTGGCAATACATATTTGTGAATTAAGAGCAAAACTGCAGTTAGAATGAAGATTAGATGTTACTCTAGGTATTCATTATCACTTTATCTCTTATTTTGATGGCACAGAAATATTTGAATTTTATTACAATTTTCACATTTATTTAAGTAGGAACCTATATGTAACCTAAAGGAACCTAAAAGTAATTCAACAAAGTGGTATGTATATTAGATATATATTTATGTATGTCTATATATGCATAATAGAGACAAACACCAATCAACCTTCTAATATTTAGAGTACTAAAACTTCTAATTTGTAGAAAAACAATAAATCCAAAGAGAGGCATCTACTCAATTTAAGTAACAGAGTATTAGATGTAACTCTAGATAGACTACACAATAAGCATTCAAAAATATTTATGGCTGATGACAGTAAAAAATAGTGGAACAATTATGGGTGTATTTTTAATGCTGACATTAAGAAAGACAATATTTACTGTGAACTTTCAGCAAAACAGGATCCTGTTTCTTGTTGCTGCCATCCTAGAATATCTTTTATTAAAGAAAAAAAAAAAAAAAAACAAGACTTGATTTGAAAAGACAGTGTGATGTTAGGGAAAAATACTTAGATTTTTGGACCACCAATGTAACCTGGCCAAGAAAAGAAGTAATTTCATTTTAAAATTCATTTTAAACTTTAAAGTTGAGAGTCAGAGGAGAGAGATTCATGAACATAAAGTTAAAAAAGGAGGCCACTGTAAAACTTTTGATATTTTCCACACACATGCCTGACAAAGATAAAGGGATTTTTTTCCTATAATTTTTTTTTAAAAATAAAGGACAAGAAAAATCTAATAATGGGTAATGTAGTTATGGGAGATCAACAAAAGTGTGACATCACAATATCTCCTTCAATGACCTTAGGGATAAAAATAATTTCCCTTAAGTATCAGTCTACTGTCACAGAGTCCCTGTTGAGAAAATACAGTTATGAAATTTATGGATCAACTATGACACACCAAAAATGTTTTTCATACTAATTTAAATAACACTAAAAATTTTATCTTTTTTGGATTTCAATGTCAAACAGTTGATGCATTAGTGTTAACCAGAAAGCAGGTTTTAGAGAATCTTGAACCAAGTAAATTTAAAAAATAGTGGTTTTCTACACTATTCCACTGAATAGAATTATAGGATTGGTTAGAAAGAACAGATTATATTCTTTATATGATTGTCATACTGGCACTTCTTTAAAACTTGATTTCAAATGATTGTATTTGTTATCAATTAGCATTATTTTATATACATGGGTTACGCATAGGATATCTAAAGTTGATTCTCAATTACAATTTCGAATGCATTTCTTCAGTGTGACAATTGAATTTTATCATTATGCTTAAAAGTAAAAATCTAAAAAACTTCACACTATTATGTAAAAGTCAGGTCCCTATTGCTATTATGTGGTTATTTCATTTCTTTTTTCTCTCACTTTGACATAACTTTAAAGGGAGTTCTACGTGTATGGGGTGGTTTATGATAAAAATTTGGGATGACTGGAAGAAAAAGATAATCATTCTTCAGATATCATAATGGTTTTGCTACTATAGAAAAGAGCAAATATTCCAATTTTATACTATTGTGTTGAATTGAGAACCACTAGCTAAAAATTTTTATCTTTCCCAAGTATTAAAAAGTCTGCAAAAAAAAAAATGTATTCAGTAATACTGGAACAAGTCATTTACAGATAACAACACCCTTTTAAAAATTAGACTGCATGCTTTTATAATGGTTCCTGAGGGCAAAAACAACTTTAAAAAATTAACTGAAAATACTCTGTAGCATAGTAAATACTTTGTAGCATAGTATTAAGTTTATGTTAAAATACACATCTTCATTACTATTGATATAACTAAGTTTAAAAATATTTTTTTTAATGTTTATTTTTGACACAGAGAGAGAGAGAGAGACAGAGCATGAATGGGGTAGGGGCAGAGAGAGATGGAAACAGAATCTGAAGCAGGCTCCAGGCTCTGAGCTGTCAGCACAGAGCCCAATGTGGGGTTTGAACTCATGAACCGTGAGATAATGACCTGAGCCGGAGTCAGACACTTAACTGACTGAGCCACCCAGGCGTGCCACTAAGTTTTAATAAAGTAGTAAAATACATTAAAAAATGAAGCCAACAGAACCTTGACTTGGTTACTATGCCTCAGAAAGTGAGACTACTGCTTCCCACATTATGTAACTGGCCAAATGCACAATATGAGAACATTAAGAAGAATATGAAGGACTCCAGTTGGTAAAAAAACTACAATATGAAAACTGATGGCTTTTGTAAATTTAAGGGGGAAAGTTAGTCTGAATATAGTCCTATTAATATTTTTCAGTTGTGAAACTTATGATTCAACTATGATACATGAAAGTGTTATTCATATCTATTTTAATAATGTAGCTCAGTATTTTTCAGATATTCTCTATTACTAAACAATGAAATTTCCAATTATATTTAACTAGTTTTTATTTTGTTCATTAATTTACTTCTAATACCTTTCTTTTACCATCATTCTTCATTCCAAACTAAGTAATTTTAGTGTCGATCCACTGAACTGAATCTTAAGATCTCTTTCTCTTTCAAAAGATTCAACCTAGTCTATATAATTTTCTTCTTTGATAGGTGTTTTATATTAATTTTGAAAAGGCTCTAAGTTTTTTGGTAATATTTTTTTTATAATGGCAAATTACATGATGACAGGAATGGAAAGTTTAATTTTATCAACTAAATCTCAATTGAGATTTAGTCTTTTTTTTTTCCCCCAAATAAATTAGGCCAGAAAAGGACTACTATGCCTTTTAAACTTATTTAATATAAAGAACACTTATATATCATAATAAGAATTTGAAGACTTCTTGGGATGAACTTCAAGTATATTGTATTCTTTTTTCCTGTTCCCTTGAACACCATTCAAACAGTCATCTTTGTATTTCAGGTGCCCAGTACAGTGCAAAGCACACCACAGAATAACTATCTGATGAATTAAGATATTCAATAACAATGCAAAACATTACAAAATACAAAGACACACCATTTCATCAGCTCAGTAGTACTATTTTTTTCATGCTGAGAAACAAAAAAGGTCAATACAACAAGGTGTAACTAATTTCAACCAAGGGGGTGGCTCTATTATTAGTTATTTTTATCCCAGAACCAGTGTTAGTGTTTCATGCAGACCTGGGTTAGTAAGTATAATTCTGGAAGAAATTTAGTGACAATTTCTGAAATGTTTAGTATGAATGAGGGCAGTGTTAAGTTTGCTTATTGTTTGAGTTACAAGCTTAGCACTTGCTAATTTTTTAAAAAGGAAATGGGGGAAGAACAAAGGGTGTTTTGGTTGACACTTTGTCTTACCTTCAGATAAACAGAACTGATATTTAATGATCTAAAGAGGGAAAATAAAATAAATGAAACAATCATAAGGAGTGCAAAGTATTACAGAATAGGAAGGCCATGAGTCATTTATTTTCTTAATGATTTTTTTCAAAATTAGTTAACTGTAAAAATGCAGTACCCTCTTATAATCTTTAAATATTATAAAATAATTTACTGTACCAAGTACTTCTAAACCTAGACATTTAACTTTATTTGTAAAATTAGAGACAAGGCAATATTCCTGGCCATAAAATTTGATTCTCTAAAGTTGAGAGAGAATGTGTACTCAACTTGTATTTCTTTTGCAGATACTTCAGTAATGATCCCATGAAACACAACAGTCACTGTCCAGTAGCTCAGATAAAATGTGGTGCATGTACTTTTATGAAGATTGTTGACTTTTAATGGAACTGCACTTAGGTCAAAAAAAGTATACATTAAATTTATAGGCCAAATTCAAATATTAAATAATGAAAATGTTTCAATGATGAAATTTATTTAAGTTTTCTATTTTAAGAGTTTAGAACAAAAGGGTATTGCATTTCAAGTTCCATTAATGACAAGTAACTAAAACTTGCTTTTAATCTTACCGGCATCAGATGGTAAATGATGGTAGGGAGCTGGAGAAAAAACCTGTGCTGCAAAATCTTCAAATGTCGTTGGTTCTAAATGATGCTGGACAATTGTTTGCAGGTATCGTGCTCTCTCCTCATAGCTGATTTCCTTCAGTTAAGGATGTACTTCAATGCAGCTTACATTGGAAAAGAACAGATCTTATCAAAAAGGACTGCTATGATTGCTAAGCCATTACTTCTTAATTACTCACTATTCTTGCATACCACTTAAAAGTATGGCTTTTTAAAGAGTAAAAAATACAGTTTTTAACATAAGTTTACTCTTCAGGATACCATATAAATGGCAGCTTAACCTGGAGACATTTATTAGGAAAGAATTATACTACCACTAAACTGTTGGAAGAATGAAGGGAACCATGTACTTGAGAAAGGATTCAACGGCTAT